GACCAGATCTGCACACAGCATTCCAAACGGGATCTCACCCCTTTGGGTAATCTCACCATGGCATTAGTGATTCACCATTGCCCTAGAACAGGAAGTTATCCTTTCTTGGAGGGGTTTGCCAGAGCTTCTGGACTGCCCTCAGTGCAGATACAGCTCCACTTTTTCCCTCTCTATTCAGCTTTTGAACAAATTTGTACAAGAACCCATTGATTAATAATCTGATAAGCACTACCTGAGAATACTAGTCCATGGCTAGTCCAATAGCTCCAAAGCACTTGTCCTCCAAAGCCTCTGGTTGGGAGAATGTTTCTTTATAGCAGCTAGGCAATAGGACTTTAAAAGGAACCTGGTCATTATTTTATGTCATCCAATGGAAATTAAGAAGGACATGAGCTTGAGCACTTACTAGAAGTTTACACTAAAAGACCGAGCCATGTCAATTCTATTTCTCTGGGAAACGTGAAGCGTTTGCACCAAATCTTGCAACAATTTCTGGTATACCAGAAATTAAGGAACAAGGGGCAAGCCCACTGTCCAAGAATAACATGGTTCAGACAGCTGCAAGGCTGCCACAGGATTTTGCATGCAGTGCCTGCCTCCTCTAGAGGTGGGGGAAGGTTGTCCCACCCCTAGATCTCCATCCAACTCCAAGTAAAGCTGAGGTAGTAGAGAAGGGGGAGTCCCTTTGGATGTGGGCACCTCCCCATCTTCAAAACTACAGTCATAATAAGAGGTTTCCCTCTTTTGCCCTTTTGGTAGATTGTGGATTTGGTGCCATGGAATCTATCATGGAACCCCTGACCGAGAACCAAATGTGGAAGTGTGCCACTTGTTGGCAGCTGAGTCTCTTGTTTGCCTCCCTTCTCCTGGTAGGAATTCCTTTCTTCCCTCTCACAGCCTAGGATTGCTAACATCCCCAGGAAGGGGTAGCCTTTGAGTTCTAGTTGTCAAGTCTATCAGTGACAGCAGGCCAGGCCTTTAATTGCTTTTTATTCATTCAATTTGTCATCCTTCCCAGTAAAGACTCAGAGCAGCTCACAATAAGAGGAGAAAAAATCCTGATAGGACAGGAGAGCAACAAAAAGAAAAAAAACCTTTTAAAAAGGTTATTAGAATATCTACTGAAAAAGAAAGAAAGGGGAACAAAAAATGAAAGATTCCTCCCTCACCAAATCATCTCAATCTAGCTTTGTTTGCTAAATGCATGCACATATAGGAAGGTCTTACTGTAGGCTTAGGCTAGCAGATAGAAGATTTGGAGAACACCATATCATACCACTTACCGCCAGTAGCATTGCCCTATTTGACTTAATGACTCCAACGATACCAAGAACAGCCAGATTGAAGAGAGCAAAGCCAACAAATATGCCAATCCAGGCGGCGCCATAGATGTCATCATTGTTTGTGGCTTCCAACAGAGGGTACAGAGTCTGCTGATCTGACACAAAGAAGATGCACTCTGCTGTCAGTGCAATGCCACACAACTGAGAACCAGAAATCAGAATCCCATTAGTTCAGGCCAGACCAGCTCAAAGCCATACCACAACCACTTTCAAGGAGAGCTCTTTTCAATCCCTGCCTCTTACAAGCGCAGGTTTTATCATACTGAACGTAGAGACAGCAAGCAGGTCTGCATTATACCAGCTGCATGTCTACCAGCATAGCCCCAAGGAAGCTCAGCTTCCTCCTCCCCCTCTGCTCCCACAGTCATTCAACTTGGTATACTGGAAGCTCTGAAGTCATCCCCAGGGACTACTTGCAAGCACCTTAGAGACCCAGTCTTGAGGGGACATTCTCCCCTTGCAGTGACCTTACCAGCAAACTGCCAGGTTTCGAACATGTGCATGGGAACAGATGTGTATGGCTTGCTTAGGGCTATCCCAGCTGGAATCTACTACAGCTGCAATGGAAACATGCCATAAGTGCTCTCCTATCCCAGACCCCTGTTCCCACAAGTCTTTGGACCCTGAGTGTGCATTTTGGATTGGAACACTTATACTGATGATTTAAAAAAAAGGGAAGGCATCTGTCTGCAAAGCAAAGGGATCAGGCTTAAACAGAATCCATGTTTAAGCCTATTCTTCTAGACAAGGTACTTGAGCCTTTGCTTCTTCCTCAGGTCATATTACCCTCTCTTCTATGTCATACCCATCTGAAACCATTTGCTTACATGGTCTGTTCAGGTTTCTCTCATGTAGTGTTATATTTAGCCTTCTTACATTACAAGGTTCATATAAAGAGTGAGGCCATTGCTGGGATTTGCCTTGTAAGAAGAACTGCTCTGGAGTGCCCTTATACAAGATCACTGTCCCTTACAGCCCTGAGCCACTTACCCCAATAATCACATTGCCTAGAACTAGCAGACCTTGAAAACAGCGCACACCATTATCGCCTTTTGCCATCTTCAACACTTCATGCAACCTGGAGGGGGGGGAAAATAATAGCAATCAGAACAAGTCCAACAGGTTTAGACTAGAAAACAAAATTATCCTGGGGTGGGG